TTTTCCTTCCTTCCTACTTTTCTTCCTTTCTTCCTTCTTCCTTTCCTTTCCTTTGCTTTCCTTTCTGTCTTTGACAGAGTCTTGCTCTGTTGCCCACGCTGGAGTGCAGTGAGCCAATCTCAGCTCGCTACAACCTCTGCCTCCCAGGTTCAAGCCATGTTCCTGCCTTAGCCTCCCAAGTAGCTGGGATTATATGTGCATGCCACCAACATTGGCTGATTTTTGTATTTTTAGTAGAGAATGGGGTTTCACCATGTTGACCAGTCTGGTCTCGAACTCCTGACCTCGGGTGATCCACCCACCTCAGTCTCCCAAAGTGTTGGGATTACAGGTGTGAGCCACTGTGCCCAGCCAACACCCAGCTTTTTGGCTCAGCCTCCCAAGTAGCTGGGATTATAGATGCCTGCCACCACACCCGGCTAAGTTTTGTATTTTCAGTAGAGAACGGGGTTTCACCATGTTGACCAGGCTGGTCTTGAACTCCTGACCTCAGGTGATCCATCTGCCTTGGCCTCCCAAAGTGCTGGAATTACAGGCATGAGCCACCAGGCCCGGCCAACACCCAGCTTTTTCTAGGCCCATTTTTAAAGGTAAATAGAGTGTCCTCCCTTCTTAACCAACCTTCCAGATCTAAATGGCTCTCAGTATCTCTTCCTGAATTCTCATCCTTTATCTAAACTAACTGATCTCCTGCTTGTGTTCCCACATTTATATTATTAGAGGACTTATAAAACCATTCTCGGAACTCCTTAAGTGAAGAGACTGGGCCTTATGCTTTACACTGCCCCTAACCCTTGGGAGGGACACAGTACACAGTAAATGTTGGTTGGTTTGATCCTAAGTGAAAAACTGACTTGAGACAGGAGACTACATCAGTACTCATTAGAGCAATCTGTATAGCACTTTTTTGAGCTTCGTGGTTGGAATGGGGCTGTGAAGAGCTAGGGAGGAGTGGTTATGAGGATGAAATGAGAAAGCTTAAGGAAAACGTCTGTACAATGTTTGGTCTCACACAGTCCCCCTCTATCCTTTGTCCCCTGCCTTCTGGCTGACATTGTATTGGGAAGCAAAGGTCAGGGGCTCTGTGTGAAGGCAAAGGGTCCAAACGATTTCTCAAGGGATCTAAGGGAAGTGGATGGCTGAGAAAACGATCAAGGGGCAGGTCCTACACAGGGACTGGGAAGGCAAGCAGAGAAACCAAAGAGTGCTAGCCAAAATTGCTAGAAGATGATTCTGGGGCTGTGGCACAATTCCACAAAAGCACCCTCTTTTCTTCGTGGAGTCTCAGTGTAGTTCACTCAGGCGAAGAATCTAACGAATATGCACCAACTGCATCAAAGGACACTTACTTCACACCCATGCCTTGGCACCTTCCCTGAGGTTGAAGATGCCACAATTCACCAGATGAGTCAATTCATGGGAAAAGGACTAGTCAAATCCCAGGCTCTGTCCAGCAACTGTCTCCCAAGTGGAAAAGAAGTTTGCTCAAGTAATCAAAGGATTCCCTAATGCAAGATTGGTGACATGCCGAAATCCCTCTTTGCAAAGAGGCAGCTGCACTGTTGCAGAGTAGACAAAGAAAGGCAAGGGGCTTTTAAACTGGAATGTGTAAAATAGAAGCAGAGAGCTGTGAATGCCACAGCAGCAATTATGCAGAAAGACTGCAGTGCAGACACAGAGCAGCACCATTCTATCTGATAACATCAGCAGCGGCAGACGCATATTCCAAGAGCTGTTTAAGAGCTGCTAATTACTTAGATTCCAATAGGAGCTATGTCTTAAAAGTGATTACAGTTTTTAATTACAGCTTTTTGAACTGATTGCAGCTGTTAGCTATAACGGCAGTAATCTAAATACAAGCGAAAAATCCTTTGATCAAACACAAAGGAACTCTTCCAAATAAAGACACCTTTATTTTACATATATATAGAGCTATCTGTTTCACATGAGTAAACAAGTGATTTATACAAATCTATTAAATGTCTAAGCATCTACACTAAAATTTAGGTTCCCTGAGACCAGGGACCACACTGTGCATCCTTCTAATTCCTTACAGTATCTAGTATGGTGTGTGGCACGTAGAAGATGCTTACTGAATTGAAGTGAAACAATTGCTGTATTAATGATTTGATCAGATAATTGTCGTTTGTTACAATAATGGCCTACTATAGAATGAACACTGGGAAAAGCAATACAAAAGTCCATTTTACTATCCTCAAATCCAGGAAACATACCTTCTTTTCTAGAAACCCAAAAGAAGTATGGAAATACATTCTTGAAAAGAAAGCTAACCACTCTGCATTCCACAACAGAGACCATGTTGATTGTGCTGTGTGAGTTGCTAGGCAACCACTTGGTAATTCCCCATGTAGTAGAGATGAACCTGTCATCTGCTTTCTTAGCTATGTGTGAAAGAAGAGACAACAGGTAAAGGACAGCCAAGAACACCTGCACCTGGATGACAGTCACTCCTGCTGAAGTATGGTGACACCGGAGAAAATCCCCACGTCCTGTCAGAAATTGCTGGAGGGAGAATTTCATTAAACTATTAGCACAAGACATTGCAATGAATTTTCTTGGATTTACCCTGGGGGTAAATCCTGTGGGTTATCCCATTAGACTTGTCCACAAAACAGGAGACCAAATGCACCATATTTCTGCATGGGAGTGGCCATCAATTCAGTAACAGGTCCAGATCAGCAGGTCCCGTGATGCCAGCTGGGACAGGACTTTACCAGAAAGAAGCAGCCTTTTAATCTTAAAAAGAATACTCAACATCTTAAAGAAACCCGTTTCTGGGTGAATAAATCATCCTTTTTCATACCTGACTATGTGCACAGAACCACAGAGTGCTTACCCCACTTCCCAGTGGGGTCCAGATAGCCTTATTTCAGGTGGAGGGGGAGATAGGGAATACAGGTGATTCTGTTGAATGGCAATAAATGATTGCTAGGGAGAATGAATGGATTGGGAAACAGATTAATTTCTAAATGGTTTTCTGAGTGAGTCTGCAAGAGAGACATTATCTTGTGAAACAGTCTGTTCATGTGTGGTTACATCCTTGGTCTTTTCTGCAATACATAATAGGAGGAAGCCAGGCATGGTGGCATACTCCTGTAATCCCAGCACTTTGAGAGGCTGAGGCAGGCAGATCTCTTGAGTCTAGGAGTTCAAGACCAGCCTGGCCAATATGACAAAACCCTCTCTGTACTAAAAACACAAAAATTAGCTGGGCATGGTGGTGCATGCCTGTAACCCCTGCTACTCAAGGGGCTGAGGCACGAGAATTGCTTGAACCCAGGGAGGTAGAGGTTGCAGTGAGCCAAGATCACGCCGCTGCACTCCAGCCTAAGTGTCAGAGTGAGACTCTGTCTCCAAAAAAAAAAAAAAAAAAAAAAGGGCCGGGCACTGTGGCTCACACCTGTAATCCTAGCACTTTGGGAGGCCAAGATGAGTGGATCACCTGAGGTCAGGGGTTCAAGACCAGCCTGGCCATCATGATGAAACCCCATCTTTATTAAAAAAAAAAAAAAAAAAACGGCCAGCTGAGGTGGCTCACACCTGTAATCCTACCACTTTGGGAGGCAGAGACAGGCAGACCATTTGAGGTCAGGAGTTCAAGACCAGCTTGACCAATATGGTGAAACCCCATCTTTACTAAAGATACAAAAAACAAAAATTAGCTGGGTGGGGTGACACATGCCTGTAATATCAGCTACTCGGGAGGCTGAGGCAGGAGAATCACTTGAACCCAGGAGGCAGAGGTTGCAGTGAGCCAAGATCGTGCCACTGCTCTCCAGAGTGACAGAGCGAGACTACGTCTCAAAAAAATAAACAAAAAGAAAATAGATAATGGGGCTGTGGAAAAAATTGTTCTCCTTGTAGGGTCTATCCAATCTTTACGTAGATAAGGGAAAAGTCTTTTCCAACATCTATTGATCTCTAAGGGACTTTAACTCAAAATACTCATTATATCAAGGAGCCATATTTTGGGGTGAAGTTCCTTGTGCTCTTTTGGGGAAAATACTTTAAAAGTCTTTCCACTAAAAAGATTCAAGATGAGAGTCTAACATACAAGGCACCTTCTAAATAGTTTGGGCAGGTATGTGGGTTGAGATCAGCATATACCACACAACACGTGTGTGCGCGCACACACAAACACACACCCCACACATCTCTACGACGTGCAGAGAATAAGAAAAAGATGACCAGCTGGCGGCATTTTCTGTAGTATGCTTTTACAATGCCCAGCCCCCATTCCTGGCATCCTCCTTTCCACACAAGTGCCTGTAACTGTCAACTGAAGAATCACAAAGTTCATAAATTTGGAAGGAAAGCTTTATTTCTCATAAAGAGTTGTAGCCTGCCGGCCCACAGGCTGGAAAGTGTAACCTTCAGAAGAAGCTGAGAGCAAGCACTTCAAGGGAGGGCTAAAGCAAGCAGAAATTTATGCTTAGCTGCATGGCCAAATATATCATATTCAGTAAGTTATAGAAGTCATGAATATTTATGAAAGGAGAAACAAGCATATATGCAATTAGGCTTCACATTTATTCCCGAGTCCCATGTTCAAAAAGGTGGTGTTGGCCAGGCATGATGGCTCATGCCTGTAATCCTAGCACTTTGGGAGGCTGAAGTGGGCAGATCACTAGGTCAGAAGATTGAGACCAACCTGGCCAATGTGGTGAAAGCCGTCTCTACTAAAATACAAAAAAATTAGCCAGACATGGTGGTGTATGCCTGTAGCCCCAGCTACTTGAGAGACCGAGGCAGGGGAATTGCTTGAACCCGGAGGCAGAGCTTGCAGTGAGCTGAGATCGCACCACTGTGCTCCAGCCTGACAACAGAATGAGACTTGTCTCAAAAAAAAAAAAAGTGGTGGTGGTAGCATGGTTCAAGGGTGGAGTTTTGGCCCTCTTATAATTGCCCAGCAGGTTCTTCTTACCACTGCACAGATAAAAACAATTCACTGAGACAGCGGTATTGCAGTAGAGAAAGACTTTAATTATTGCAGGGTTAGGTAAGCAGAAGGTGGGAGTTTATTACTCAAATCAGTCTTCTTGAGAACTGAGAGGCTAGAGTACTATGGATAATTTGGTGGGAGGGGGCTAGGGAATGGGTGCTGCTGACTGGTTGGGGAAGAAATCATAGGGGTGTGGAAAACAGTCCTCATGTGCTGAGTCAGCCTCTAGGTGGGGGGCCCACAGGACCGGTTGATTCCTGAGTCTCAGATCATCTGGGTGAAGTTAGTCAGTTGCCAGGATGCAAAAGTCTGAAAAACAACTCAAAAGATCAATCCTTGGTTCTACAATAGTGATTACCTATAGGAAGGAGCATTTGGGGAAGTTACAAATTTTGTGACTTCTGAAACAATGGCTGGTTATCATTTAATTACACCTACATTTTAGCAGAATTCAGGCCCATCTCATAATCCTACTCTTGTAATCTTTCATTGCTTTTACAAAAGTGGTTTCAGTCCCTGAGGAAAGAGCAGGGGGTAGTTTCATGGAGGGCCTTTTATCATTCTTACTTCAAAGTTAACCTATAAATGAAATGCCTCCCATGGTTAGCTTGGCCTATACCCAGGAATGAGTGAGGACAACCAGCCTATGAGGCAGAAGCAAAATTGAGTCAGCCATGCTAGACTTCTCTTACCATCATAATCTTTGCAAAGGCAGTTTTACTCTGACGTGAAAAGGTGAAGCATAAGACACAAAAATCCTCCACTGGACATCCTCCATGAGTCAGCCAAAACTAGACCAGAGATGGTGGTCAGTTTTTAGGAAAGGATGCATTGTGAAACTGGCAAGTTGTCACTTTGAAACTGTAAAGAGACAGGGGAGTGCAGTCACTACCTCAGGTGATTTGCTAATGGGGATAAGGAATGGGTCATCCATTTCTTGTTTTCTAGAGCTAGTTTCTGCTTACACTTTAGGAAACAATTCTGGCTAAAGAAAGGGTAATAAGGAAGGGGCATACTGAGGCATGTCTGACCTCTCTCCCCAGCATGCCAGACACTCAGTTTTCAGGGTTTCTCTGGGAAATGCCTGGCCAAGAGGGGGTCAGTCCAGTTGGCTGAAGGGCTTCAGATTTTATTTTTATTCCTCATAGTGCTTCTAGCTTACCACTGGCCTCCTCCTATTATAGCAGGAAAGGCTGAGATATTACCCATTTCCACTTTAGCATGGAGACTGTCAAGCAAAGTGGCAAGAATTCTGGAATTCAAATCCTGGTTCTACCACTTACCACTGGTGAGCCTGGCAAGTGACATGGGCCTCTGTGTCTTAGCCTCCTGCTCTGTAAAAAGAAAATATTGATACTACACGCATCTTATAGGATAGTGGGAGGATTAAGTGAATAAATGTAGGCAAATCACTTAGGACAGTGTCTGGCAAATAACAAGCACTCCGTGTTATGGAAGATTTTGTCTTGGGTTCCAGAGTATCTGGGTGTCAAGCAGTAGGAGGGTTTTCCACTGCCTCTAAAATCAAACCTTTGCCTATATATGAACAGCCTGACCATAACCTGAATATTACCCCTTAGTGTATCTGCTCTGCCAAATACTCCCCTAAAATATGAGTCAAGAATCAGTCTGGCTAGTGAGGGCCTTGTCCCCTGACTGCTAAGGGAAAAAAGGTCATACATCCCACTATCCCTGACCTCTGCTTCTGCCTCTGCCATCTGGCACCTGTACGTCCCCTGCCCACACAGGCTGCAGCCCCTCTCCTCTCACTGACCCATGACACACACTTATCACTCCATCAAATCTTCTTTAAAAACTTACAAAGTGATCAGCACCAATAATGCTAGATTGTAGATTCAAACTAGAGGATAACTGTTTTACAGATGGCCAAACTGAGGTTCAGGAAAATGAAATCAGTGGTTTCCCAACACCAGTCTAAGAACTGCTGCTAGTCCTTGTGAGGCTGTTTTCACCAGTCCTCAGCCAAACTGGAAAAATAAGATGAAAGCTTTGTTTTTCATACAGCCGAAATTATTATTTTGAGATGGAGTCTTGCTCTGTTGCCCAAGCTGGAGTGCAGTGGTGGGATCCTGGCTCACTGCAACCTCTGCCTCCTGGGTTCAAGCAATTCTCCTGCCTCAGCCTCTCGAGTAGCTGGAACCACAGGCACTCACCACCACACCTGGCTCATTTTTGTATTTTTAGTAGAGACGGGTTTTCACTATGTTGGCCAGGTTGGTCTCAAACTCCTGACCTCAGGTGGTCTGCCGACCTCAGCCTCCCAAAGTGCTGGAATTACACGTATGAGCCACCACACCCGGCTGAATTTATTCTATTCTTAAATTGTGAGGTTATGTCCTATCTTTCTTCCTGTGTATATGGAAAAGATATCAAAATGCCCTTTCTTTTATAAAATGATATTGATAGGAGCTGGGATTTGAAACTAGATCATGTGAATACTTTCACTGCCTCCTATTTTAATTACATTTAAATATTTTTAAATGACTTTGATTTTAAATTCAACATATAAATATTTTTATACAATAGATTATACCCTTGAAAGTATCTTCAAATAAAACTCGGTTCATGGTTGACTCTTCATGATATCCTATGCAGCATTAAAAATGCCTCACATGGAGAGGCAGGTTACAATTTCTTTCTTTATTATTTATTTATTTATTTAAACCAGGACCTCTCACAGGCTACTATTTCATGAAGTAGATGGAAAAAAGAAACTTTCGCAAATCCCTAAATGTAGGATTTAAGGGCGCATGTCTCCCCCTACTGGTGGTGGTGGTGGCAAACCAAGCCTAGACCACAATGGTACTGGGGAGAACTTGAATTGGAAAGGACCTTACAGCAAGAATAATCCGGTGCTTCAAAACCCACTATCCATCACAGGGTCCTTACCCCAAACAAGAATAAAGAGAGTAAAGTGAGTGAAGGTTAAAGAATTCGTGGCACCAGTAAACTATCAATAGATGCTGATTTACAAACCTTGGTAAATTAATAGGAAAGAAAAACGTTTACAGTGGTTTAGCTATATAAAAATATTCACTGTCCATTTTCATGAATGGCTTATTCTGCATATGTAACTATGTAGAATCATAGCATAAAATAATCATAAAAATTATGCCTATCATTAGTCTAATTCACTTGGTTCCATTACAATACTTGTCAGAAGTTCAAGTTATTGGTACAGCATGGCTGTCTGCTCAAGATGCAGGGAAAGTCAAAAAAGCTTGGTTTATTTGCCCCTTCAGAGGACTAAGATAGGGCCTCATGCTTTTGCGTATTTCATTGATTCTTTTTTGCGTGGTAATGCATCATACCCTCACCCACTTCCATTATTGCAAATCCAACTTTTAGGTGACTTTAAAGCTTTACCTGCTGGTCTCTTCCTACTCCAACAACCAAAAAAGAAAGGTTTCTTTTTTCCTCTCAGTTTTATTATTGTGCTGAGAATCTTCTGGTACTTACCCCATTCTCTTTCATATTGCTTATTCCAGCATGTCTTATTTCCCATATTAGATTTTAAGTTATTTGAAGGCAGACTGTTTTATTCTTTTTTAAATTTTGTTTTGTTTTTTATCTAAGTTCAGGGATACGTGTGCAGGTTTGTTACATAGGCAAATTTGTGTCATGGGGGTTTGTTGTACAGATTTTGTCGCCCAGGTATTAAGCCTAGTACTCGTTTTTGTTGTTGTTTGCTGTTTTTATTTCCATAGGTTTTTGGGGGAACAGGTGGTATTTAGTTATATGCATAAGTTCTTTAGCAGTGATTTGTGAGATTTTGGTGCAGCCATCCCCGGAGCAGTATACACTGAACCCAATGCTGTTATCCCTCACCCCCTTCCAGCCCTTTTTCCCTGAGTCCCTAAAGGCCATTTTACCATTCTTATGCCTTTACATTCTCATAGCTTAACTCCCACTTGAGTGAGAACATATGATGTTTGAGTTTCTATTCCTTAGTTACTTCACTTAGAACGTAAGTCTCCAATCTCATCCAGGTTGCTGCAGATGCCATTCATTCATTCCTCTCATAGTGGATTTATTTGCCCCTTTGGAATACTAAGATAGGACAACCCCTCATGTTTTTGCTTATTTCATTAATTCTTTTTTGCTTGGTATGCATTACACTCTCACCCACTTCCATTATTGCAAATTCAACTTTCAGCTATCCTTAAACTTTTACCTACTGGTCTCATCCTCCAACAACCAAAAAAAAAAAAAAATTTTTTTTTTTTTCTCCCTTAACTTCATTAATTTTGTTCAGAATCTTCTGGTGCTTATCCCATTCTCTTTCATATTATTTATTACAGCGTGTCCTATTTCCCATATCAGATTTTAAGTTATTTGAAGGCAGACTGTTTTATTCTACTTCAAAAAAAGGCAATCTGTTAATGGCTTCATGGATAAAAGCCAGGGTTTCGTAATTGTGTCCTAATGGGCAAAAAGTCTACGCAACTGGAAAAAAAAACACCACCTGCGTCATAAATTTGTAAGGCATCATAAAAGGGTGCATATAAAGCGGCCTGGCTCTGAATTACTTGCTAATTGTTAACTACCACTTTCACTCTGTCCCCAAAACCAAAGCCTTACATGCTGTAGGCACAAGTTGGTAAAGCTTATTGCTATTAAGTACATCCATACCCAATAATACATTAGAATTATCTGCGTCTAGAGGACTAACGAGATTAACCATGATCTAGCAGCACTTACAAAGGCCTGGATGACCGGTATAAAACGATTCCCACCATCTAGATCAGCTCTGTCCAATACAACTTTCCACGATGCTGGGAATGGGCTATAATCTGCACTGTCCAATCAAGAGGTCATGGAGCTCATGAAATGGGACTAGTACGACTGAGAACGTTACCGAGTAGTTAGTGATCACCTTATTGGACAGCTCAGTCTAGAATCTGCCTCGATGTGTCAACACTCTTCAAACTCGCCCATGTCTTTTTCACTAGAGAAATCATTCTAAGTAACCCTCATTGATTCAAGGCGGCAGAACGCCAACGGATCCCAAGCCCTTTTCTTTAGCTGTTACACACGTGTTCACCGTGAACCTTCACCGAGAAACAGCGTCCACATAAAAACCATCGCACATGACAAAGCGAGTCAAACATCAAAGGACATGAACTCATCCACTTAAAATAACTCATCGCCCCTCGACCTCTTGGAGCACGGTCTCGAGGGTGGAGGGGAACAAAAACAAACCGGGGCAAATGCGTAGGGAAAATGCGAGGAGCACGCGGGGAGGTCTGGGGCCCGTCAGGCGACTCCCCGCCGAGGCTGCCTGCGCGCCCGCTCTTCCACGCTGAGCACCGTCGCTCCCGGCTCGCGCACGGGCCGGACACGCCTCGCCCCGGCCCCCGCCCCCAACGGTGGCACCGCGGCACGCACCGCGATAGTGCGAGAGTCGCGCCTCTGGCAGTAGCGGCTCCAAGCCGTCCCCACCCCCAGCTCCTCGGAACCCCGCCTCGAAACCGTGCCCAAGCCTCTCATTGCTCATGGCCCCCGTACAAAATGGCGGCGGGGCCTCAGGCACCAACCATAGAGACGCTCTCCCGCCGCGGAGCGAGCACCGGCCTGTGAGCGCTAGCCCCGCTCCGCACTAGCCTGGTCTTCCGGCGGGGGCGGGGAAAGGGCGCGTCTCCAAGGTCCCTTCTAGGAGAACAGTGTGCGGTCTCTATGGTGCCGGGTCCTCCGAGCCGGGTCACGTGGCTGCCGCAAGCTGTCGCGGAGGCGGGGGGAGGAGAAATGGGCGGGAGGTTGGGGGGTTAGCCAGACACACGGCGACGGCTAGGTTGTCATGGAGCCGCGGGGCCGTGCTCACGCATGCGCCACCTGACCCACGGGACCGGTCGTGGAGCGGCGACCCTGGCCCTAGGTGAGAAAGGGAGGGCTGGGTGCGGGAGGAGGGGAGCAGGGCTGGCGGCGGGAGAGGGATTGGGCGAGGAGCGTGGGGAAAGGAGGTGGAAGTGGGGGAGAGAGGAAGAGGAGCGAGTAGGCAGGAGGGGTAAACTGAGACTTTCGGGGGACGGAGGGCCAAATGGTGGGAGCGGGGGTTGTTGGCTTTGCTGTGAGGGGCGTGGGAGAGGGAATCGCGGGTGAGGAGGGGGCTGCGTGTGGGGAGGGGGCTTGTGTGAGGGGCCAGTGGGGCGAACCCATTAGGGCAGGTGGGCTTTGGTTTAGCCCTGGGGCAGCCGCCAGCCGGCTGGGAGGGGAGAGAGCCTGGAGGCCAGCCCGGCTGGGAGCAGAGGGCCAGGCAATGGGTAGGTGAGTGGGCGCCAGAACTGGTAACTGGGCGAGGGTCCTGGGCTACCGGTTTGAGGTCAGGGGTAGTACCCTGCTATGGCCCCCAGGGCACAGGTGTGCTGCCTTTTCCAGAGACCTGCCTTCACCCACGTTGCTGGTTATTTCCACTGTGGCCAGCTCGCCAGGCTTGGCGCCGGGGGCAGTGTTCTAGGGGAGAAGGTGGGCAGTGCCAAGTAAGGAGTTAGTGGTTAGTGGGTGCGTGCTTCGGGGGAGCTCTGATCCCAGCCCAGGGCACAGGCTGGAGCTAGGCGCCCTGTTATTGCTCAAGTCCTGGCAGTATGCATTGTCTGAGCGTTTGCCCTGGAAGGCTGGTGGTATGCCAGTCCCAGCACAGTACTAGGGTCTGCCCAGTTCTGCCCTGCTGAGCTGGCAGGCTGGTAGATGCCTGGAGGGTGCACATGCTGCCTGGCACAGATGCAACGTGGGCTGGTGCGAATGGGTAGGTGGGCACTGTTACTGTTAACTAATTGCAGCAGGGGAGCGGAGCGGAGAACGTTCTCTAAGCTCACCTCCTCTTTGAAAGGTGAAAATAGAGCCAAACTGGTCTAAAACATAGGAAATTGTATGAAATTGAGGTTCAGGATCTTTGACACGAGCTTTCAGCCAACTTGGAGAAATGGAATGAATATAAAAGGGAAGATGAATATTAGACATTTAGGTAGATAGGGTTTTTCCACTGTTAAAATACCCAGGCCTTCTCTCAGGATGGTATCTGAATATGCAGGCCAAAAGAAAATGACTTCAGAGAAAACCTAGTAATGAACTTATCATTCTAACTGGGATTACTCAAGGTTTGCTTTCTGTGACCTTATCACTTTGTTGTGTTTAAGCCTCTGCTTGAGCTTTTACCTCACACTTCTGTCCAGGCACACATGTTATACACGTGACACATTTTAAAGGGAACTCGAGCTCCCAGGAATGTTGCCAAGTGTCTATAAAAGGAGAGATCTGAAAGCAGCATTTCAGATCCTTTTCTTGTAACCCTTGGATCTCCTTTTTAATCCTAAGAACAAATATCCACAAAGATTGTTTGTGGATTAGACCAACCTTTAATTTGGATGTTGGATTTGTTCCTGAGGTTTCATCTTAGCATAAGGGGTAGATCAAATATCTGTTTCCTGCCGGGGAGATTAGCTCTTAAGGTGACCATGGTGTTTGGAAATGCAGAATCTTGACCTTCAAGCTGTTCAGTATTTCCATGACTACTAAGCTACTAGAGCTGTCAGAGAGACAGCAGATCAGCCATTTGTTGGAATTTATTACTCTATTGAATGCCTTATTGTTGGGGGCCAGGAGGCAAAAAAAAACCTCGAGGTTGAGGAGACAGATAATTAGACTAATGTCAGAAGTGCAAAAAGAGTAAGAGCTAAGTGCTTTGGAGTACTTGATAGAATTTTGAATTTTGTCTCCTTATATAAACCAATATATTTATTGATTCACTTTTTTTTTGAGATGGAGTGACACTCTGTCACCCAGACTGGAGTGCAGAGGCACAGTCTTGGCTTACTACAATCTCCACCTCCCAGATTCAGGCAGTTCTCGTGCCTCAGCCTCCTGAGTAGCTGGGATTACAGGCGCGCACCACCATGCCCAGCTAATTTTTGTACTTTTAATAGAGACAGGGTTGTACCATATTGGCCAGGCTGGTCTAGAACTCCTCACCTCAGGTGATCTACCTGCTTTGGCCTCCTAAAGTGCTGCTGGGATTACAGACGTGAGCCACCTTGCCCAGCTCTGATTCACTTTGGGTTTGTTTTTGTTTTTGTTTTTGTTTTTGTTTGAGACGGAGTTTCGCTCTTGTTACCCAGGCTGGAGTGCAATGGCTCGATCTCGGCTCACTGCAACCTCCGCCTCCTAGGTTCAGGCAATTCTCCTGCCTCAGCCTCCTGAGTAGCTGGGATTACAGGCACGCGCCATGTTTTTGTTTTTTTAAGACTGAGTCTCACTCTGTCCCCCAGGCCAGAGTGCAGTGGCGACGTCTCGGCTCACTGCAACCTCCGGCTCCTAGGTTCAAGTGATTCTCCTGCCTCCCCTTCTCAAGTAGCTGGGATTACAGACATGTGCCACCACACCCAGCTAATTTTTGTATTTTTAGTAGAGACACGGTTTCACCATGTTAGCCAGGCTGGTCTCAAACTCCTGACCTTAGGTGATGCATCTGCCTCGGCCTCCCAAAGTGCTGGGATTACTGGTGCCGCACCCAGCCTGATTCACTTTCCATTATGAGTTTTAGTGTGTACTATCTCTGGGAAACTTTTGGACAATGTGTTACATATACATGCATAAGAGGCCCAATTAGGGTAAATTCTGACAGTTTTGGGGCTTAAATTAGCCCTCCTAATGCAGAGTAAGGTACATGCTTTTGTAAAGCAGTATGAGTGATTTCCAGTCTGTGCCAGGAAGCAGAAAGAACACAGTGGTTAAGAGCTTAGTAACCCATTTTCAACTCCTAGTCAGTGTGTGAGCATCTAACTTTATTATAAACTAATATCTAGGAGGAAAAAAAGCAAACAATTTCTTGAGGTTTTCAGACTTTGTCTTGCAAACTTTGGGGTTGAGAGCACCAGTAGTAAATGCCATCACTCTCTGCTTCTCTCCTGTTGAGAGCTTGCGAGTGGGTTCCTCAGCCACTCCCAGGAGGGCAGTGCTGCTCCTCCGAATGAAGAAAGTTTGGGGTGGGATGTAGCCATTTGTTTTACATCCCACGTGAGCCTCCCCGGCTGTAATGCTAAGGCTTCTTGTTGCTTAAGAGAGCTTTACTGAAGACAGAGGCTTTCATATTTTTAATCATTTTTATATCCAAAATAGTCAATTTGCCATTCTAAAGTCGACTGCATTCTTTCTTTCCAACTGCCACCACTCCCCAGGATCTAAGTTTAGTATCTGTTCTGTTTTTAACTTACCTCTGCTATACCTTTCCTCACCTACCATAAGGGTCACTGTTGACCCTCCCATAACAAAAGACAGGTTAACAGAGAAAACATAACAGTTTTATTTAATCAAAGTTTTTTTTATGACATAGCAGTCTTCAGAATTGAAATATCACAAACTCAGGGAAAACTATTTTTATGCTTAGGTTTGATGAAGAATGTAAGGCCTTGTAGAAATATTGGACAAAAAAGGTATGATCTGGCTGGGCGGGGTGGCTCACACCTGTTATCCTAGCACTTTGGGGTGCTGAGGTGGGAGGATTGCTTGAACCCAGGAGGTCAAGACCAGCTTGGACAACATAGCAAGACCTACTCTCTACAAAAAATTTAAAAATTAGCTGAGTGTGGTGGTATACGCCTGGAGTCCCTGCTACTCAGGAGGCTAAGGCAGAAGGATCACTTTAGTCCAGGAGGTTGAGTCTGCAGTTAGCCGTGATCGTGCCACTGCGCTCCAGCCTGAGCAACAGCATGTGATGCATCTATAAATAAAAAACAAAACAAAAGAAAAATCAACCGTACAAAAAGAGTGTGATCTAATAGTAATGGACTGAGGTGGGAAACCCGGCAAGATCTGTCTGTACAGAATTATTCTTGACCTCTGCGTAGCATTCCTTCCTCTCTGTTATCGGGCAGGAGCCATTCTAGAATGATGGTTTTATGATCTACTATCAGACAAGACAGATCAGGTAATTTCTTTATGGCCAGGAAGTTGAGGCTGCAGTGAGCCATGTTTGTGGCCTTGCACTCCAGCGTGGGCGACAGAGCAAGACACAGTTTCAGATAAAACAAAAAACAACAATAAAGCACTCATTATGCTAAAGTGCCATACTTTGGAGTATTGTTTTCTGAGCCTCAACAACTGATTTGTCAGTATTTTAGTATTTTGACTCTCTGATTAATTATCTGTTTTACAAATTCTCGATCAGCCAGAATAAATTCCCATGTATTTTCTGTAGTTCCAATGACTACACTTTAATAATAATAGCAAGACTTTTTTCATTGTTTTGCCACAGAGATTGTAGAAGACTACATTGGGATGCATTATCTAAAGTTCCTGTAAAATAATCCATGTTTAGTAAGATAATGTAAAACTTCAAGAACCTAAGATCCTAAGTAAGGTTCTTAATTAGTTGCAACTAGCATGAGCTACCCTCCTGATGTAAATCAACAGCCTGGTTTAACTTGAATTAGTTGGAATGCCCATCCACAAATCCTCATCTACTTCTATTTTGGAAAAGACTTCTATTCACTTTCGGACAGTATTATTTTAGGAAAATTATACTGTGCACGTTTGTTGAATTTCACACAAAAGGATCCTGATTTAATTAGAGATACAGTTTTACACTTTAGTCTACTTTTTAAACTGGGCTGTCCATGCTGTCAAA